CTGAAAAATTGCCCTTTCACACCACAAAGCTAAATAATATTGTAGCAATGGTGCTAAGATTTCTCTTTTATAAAGGCAAACTAAGCAGTAGTCTGTTAAATTCTTGTTTTCCCACACAGTGTATTTGTCACTGGCTCTGCTTTTCCTCTACCATTTTTTCTCTTGCTCTGAAACAACCTTAAAAGGACTCTATTCGGTGAGCATCTTCTAGTATGGTAAATTATCTGACAGATCATTCATTATCTCGGGAACCTACTAAAAGCATTCCACTAAAACAATCTACAAATTTGGGGATGAGACATTTCCTACCAGGTAGCATACATACATTTCAAAAGCCCCTAAGGTAGTGGTTTATCACAAAGGAGTGATTCCAATAGAATCAACAAGCTCCGTAACGATTCTTTGTGGCCAACAGGCTGAACTGCTAATTTACCTAGTCACCACTATCTATCTCAGCAGGACATGACAGTCAAAAGTAGCAATGCAAACTTTGTCTTCAGATGCCATCCACATAGCCATCTGGAAAAACCTGGGGAGAGATAGCAGAGCTTCCTATAGGATGTAGAATGAGAGTTTGAGCCAATTTTGTGTAAATCTTAGAATAAAGAAAACTTTAACTACCACTCTAGATATATTAACTGAGCCAGGGGTGGTATGCAAAAGAAATGGGAAGGACACAGAGAATCCTCAGACAAAGACAGTGTGAAGAGTCAGACTGGGCAGGGTGTAGAGGTGGAGCCCAATGTGCCAGCTGGGCAGGAGGAACACTTGGGCCTGGCAGTTTAGGACCAACCTGGGCAACACAGCGAGACTCCATCTCCAAAAATAGGAAAGGAAAGGAAAAATTAACCCCTCTTCTGATGTGGGACCAACCTATTTTCCAAAAACCACAAAACCACCCTGGCTCTAGCTTAAAAGTGTTATGGAGATGTCAGGATAGGAGCAACAGAGGTTGTCAGCGACACCTCATTTTTTCAGCTTTTTAAATACAAAGAACAAATCATAATCTAATTCTTCAAAGCCCTTCCTGACCCTCCTACACTTTTCAGTCTTAAACTCTCCTTCAATCTTAGCTTCAAGGTTAGAGGCAGTCACTGAAGTGTCTAATTTCAGTGACAAAGGGAGGACACAGGACCTGGTGGGAGCAGGAAACAGAATTGTTTCACTGTGCTGCTTAATCTGTGTCATCAAATGAGTTATTCAGCCCTGCATTTTTGCAGTAGATTCTGGGCCAAGTACTTCTTCCTTCTCTCTCTGGATGCCAGCCTTGTTTGTGGTTGTTGTTCAGTAGCCAGGTGTGCCCTGAGAAGATGGATAAATCCAAATGGATTCCTTTCTTTTTTTAAAAGTAAATGGTGTCTGCATTGTTGTTGCTTTTAATTGTATGCGAAGGGTTGGAAATAATTTTGTTTGTCTGTCTTATGGTATCAGAAGTTGCACTCAAGGACTTTGAACTAAGCTATATCAAGGGCCCCTTTTGTATTTTCATTCTGAGACAGAGTCTTGCTAAGTTTCTCAGGCTGGACTTGAACTTGTGATCTTCCTACCTCAGCCTCCTAGAGAGCCGTGATTACAGGCCTGCACTGCCACAGCCAGGTACTACTGTTATTTTCTAATTGAATGCCATTGTTTCCTTTTCTGCATTACCTTTGTACTGCCCCACATATTATCACTAATCTTCTCACCACGGTGGGACTCAAATAATTATCATTTGGAAGAGTTGTTTTTAGAGTTTCAATATTGATAACACTCTTTTCAGGAGCTAGGACATTCCTAAGTAATTTCTTTCTTTTTTTCTTTTTAACGTCTGTGGTACAGGATCTCACCATGCAGCTCAGACTTGTAGTGATCCTCCTGTTTTTAGCCTCCCCAGTGCTGGAATTACAGGTGCACACCACCAGGCCCGGACTTGGTCACTGGCTCAGCACACTCCCAGGGTGGGGCCAGTGAGGCTTCCTAAGCAATTTTAGAGCAAAATAAAAACAAAAGCGACACCTGGCCTTGAGTCAGATCAGGATTCTAGGCTTCCCTTGTTCTCTTTCAGTGTACAGAAAGTCTGTACACTGGTCTTTCAGTTGAGCCTTTCTGAAAATCTGTGGTAAGATTCCCTCCACCTCCTTCTTCCCAGGACAGAGGAGTTGGGTTCATCACCAGCTTTAGGGACACCTCGGGCCTGCTGCAGGGAAGCAGAACTTGTGAATATGGACCAGGCCTAAGTGATAAAAGCTGCTGGGGTCCTGGAGGAGAAACCCTACCCCATTGAAGTGATTCACCTGCAAGTGTTAGGAGAAGCAGCCCAAAGCCGTGGCCCAGTAACTGGATGCTGCAGCTTCATCGCTAGTGTGAGTCCGAGCTTGCCACTCAGCCCTGAGCTTTGCTGATCTTTTTTTTTTTTTTTTTTTTTTTT